AGTGAGTTAATCCCTTCTGTTTGGTGGTCCAGGTTCTGTCATCAGAAACCAACAGGCTATTAACACCACGATTCACTTCAAACAGAGTGGGAAGATTTGGACAGATTTCATCTTTTGTGTTTACCTTTCTCCTCACTGCACACTGCATTGATTTATAGAAATGGCATGATTTGTATGACCGGGTTTTTAGTAGCAAAACCTGTTTTCTACAAAGAAGGGGCTCCATCAGGAAGCTCCTATGCAGTTTGTCCATTTTCAGCCTAAGCAGTAAATCCATTTGGTTCTGTATCAAATGTGAACCAAAAACAAAATTGTGTTGCAGTCGTTTCTAATGTTAGGGCTGTTTAATTTCAGCTCCTTTGTCCCCATCCACCACAAACACCCCACTTTAACTTACAGTCCCCTGAACACATTAATATCAATTATTTTTGTAGTTTTCAAGTTCTTATATTTTTGCCAAATGTAGTCATATTTTCTAGCTCAGGCATAATGCTAGAAGAGAAAATGAACATGAGACGCATGCTTCAGCACAGATGTCCTCAGAAGACATTGATCTGAGAGATATAGCTATAGATAAAAGGGTATAAGCGAATGATTCTCCTATGAGTCCTCAGCTTCACTGAGAAGGTTCAATGGAGCGAACCTGGGACTGAAGGGAGAGCGGTTTGGGGATTTATTGATTAGTGTGTAGAGAGCTTCAGCTTGTGATGATGACAATGTTTCATAGGTGGGTGGTGATAGTGATAATGCCACAATATGAAGGGAGTTAAGAAGTGAACTATTTCTTTTGGGAGTTAAGGTTATCCTTTTATTTATATATTGTAAGAAGTGAAAGAAGAATGGGGGTATTAGACAAGTTAGGATATTTTAGGTTATCCAGTTTCCCAGTTTTTATACATTTTTTCTAATTTTCTGTTTACCATAACTAAAATTTCATGGTATAAACAAAATAATGCTAACATTCTATATTCCAAACCCAATGTAGCACCAACAACAAGTCAGCAAATTTGACTTTTGATTATCCTGAATCCTTAATCTTTTCTTACTTGTTTTATTTTTTTAAATTTCATATATAGATAACATGTATGTTGGTCATATCCCTCTCTAAAAATCCTATCTTCCCAACACCTCACTCTGAACTCTGTGTTCTTGCTTTGATGACCATTTGTGTACATGTGTGAGGGGCAAGGCTAACCTACCAATGATCACCATGCCCTCAAGTGATTCTCTCTCCTTTAGTATCTATCCATTGCCATATGTTGATAACTAGAGGAAGGGCATCAGAAAGCCCTCTGCTTAAGTTGGAAGTTTTAATTCTTTTGATCTTTTGCAGGGAGCAACGGTTGCTATGAGTATGTGTATAATAGCTATGTCACACCCAGAGTTCAGTCTGCCTTGGCATCCCACCCTATCCTTTGGCTCTTACATTCTTTCCACTCACTCTTCCATTATGCCTCCTGATACAGACTTTCCATGTGACACTCACAGTCACTTACTTCCACCATTATGAAAGATTATGAGTCTTTCTTTACATTAAGGTCTACTCTTTGTGAGGAAGAGCTTCTCTGAGCATGGCTGAGAACACCTCAAATCTGTGAACAGGAATACAAACATTCAGAAGAGAGTTTGGCAACATAATTATTTATCAAAATCATATCAATAAGTTCTTTCCTAGGGCCTACGACCTCCCTAGCTATAGATTTTTTTCTTTTCTTTTTTTAGTGCTAGTAGGTTTATACTGCATCTGACCATCAGTGGTGCCTGCTGATTTGTACAAGATTAACTTTCACTAGGTAATGAGAGCAATGGCAATTGTAAAGTAGTTGAGATGGCTATCTTTGGTGGCCAGTTTGAGTATATTTAGGGCATATAATTCTGATGGTATCTTTAGAGGTATTTCCAAAGAGGATTAACTATATTGGGAGGATTCATCCTGAATGTTGGTGGCACAATCCCATGGAATGCAGTTCTGGGCTTAATACAATAAAGGAGAAATGATGCTGACAGGAGCCTCACCATTCATATCTCCATTTCAGTGAATATTACTGACAATATGCCTGAAGCTTGACTGCATTACTTTCCTGCCATGATCAACTGAGCCTTTTTCTTAAATTGGGGAGCAAAGTTCTTTTTTTCCTCAAAGTTGTTTTCTGTCACAGTGATGAGTAGTATTAAACACAGACCTTGGAACTTAATTGCCTCTGGAGTCAGATTGATATGTGGTGGTGAAGTGATAGGCCTTCTCCCAAAGCAGCATCCCTGTTCTGCCATCTTCTTTCTTCACATTGCATCTTTTATTATAAATCACCACTAATCATTTGTCAAAGAAAGCATTGTGAATAAAAATACAGAAATATAATTCAGTTTGGTATTACTTCTAAAAAAAGTCTGATATTTCTATTGGTATCTGCTTCTGAATCAATGCCAATTTTTTAATAAATTTCCACTGATACATTTATTTGACATTCTATGATTCTATTGGGCAACATACTTCTTCCTGTATAGCATCTTGTTTTACCATGAAATGATCAGCTTTGAGTCTTCATTTAGACATGACTTCATATTTTACGGTCTCAGAAAAAAAAAGAGTGTATTCATTAAAAATCTGAGCTTCACTTCCATGTCTTTGAAGGACTCAGCTGTTCACAGAAATTCTGAGCCTTAATTGATGTTTCAGACTGCTGGATACTTGCTCTAAGTCTTCTGTATGTTTCAGTTCCACTGGGATATCTCTGGTTGTCACAGTACCATACATCTCCTTATCATCATCCATAGATGTGATGTTTAATACTTTGGTTTTGAAAAATAGTATGAAAGTCCCCTGGCATATTTGGATTGATAATTTTGAGATACTACAGAAACCCTGCTAATCAGTTTCAATTAAAGCATGAAATTATATCAGGTTCTGTGGGAACAGAGTTGATAATTTAATATGTAGTAGTTTGAATCACTTAAATGGCTAATAGCTTCCTGGTAAGAGGAAGACAAAGAATATTAATATTTCAAATAAAGTGTTGTGATATGAGGATTAAATTACCATACTGAACACAAAAGTTTTAGCTTGCTGAACTAATGAGAAAAAATTGAACAAAATTGTGCTATAACAGAATGAACCATTTATTTTTTTTTTTGAGGTCAGATGTATTATCAACATAATTATCTCTTAAATTAAATTAATGCTAACTTGAGTATTATTGATTTAATAATTGTTGTATAGACATTTGTTTTAATAGTTGGAAACTATTTCTTTTTTAAGAATTAAAATCTAATTATTATAATTATTTAAGTGTAACTGTAATGCAATTATTACAGTTATAGGAGTCAGACTTTTTTAATAAAAAATACCTTAGTATTCTCACTTGAATGTCAAAATTTTCCCATATTTCTCTGTTATTGTAAGAGTTAAATGGAACATTTATGAACCTATTCTTTTTGCTTACATTTAAACTCTTTTCCCATTGTTTTGAATTATTTGATTCTTAAAAACCAATATAAAAATAAAATCAGACCTAAAATGAAAAATGCTTTTTAAATATGAATAGTATTTTCCAGATTAAGCTGTTCTTCAATTGGACAAATAATGCCTAGTCCCTGTCATACTTCACCATAAAAGTGCAAACCTCAGCCAATTGCCCAGAGAGATGGCTGCCTCTTGTTCTTACTATAGACCTTTCATCAAAGCCAGGCAGTGTGGGCATTTTCCCAACCTCGGAAGATGTTGCCTGAAGTCACATTCATATGTCTCAACTCAGTGCACTGACCAAGCACAGTACAGAGACTACGGACTGCTTCTCAGTAGTCGTCAAGTAGAGAGTCCATGAGGGAGGCATAGAGAATTTAATCATTACATTGGGCCTGAACCTAAGCCTCAGGGAACACTGATGAAGAGGAGAGAGAAGGATTGTGTGAGCTACAGAATCAAGGAGTGTGCTGTGAGATTATGCCTCTTAGTAATATCAGAACCTATACCCATCAGGTCTCACCAGTGTGGAGGCCAAAACAAAAACTGAACAAGAACAACAATAGACATGCTAAAGCAGGCAAGGTGAAGACTACAAGGTCTCACCCCTTCACAAGTAACTACAGGCATTTAGGAATACTGAGAGTGGGAGAAACAATTTTTCATAGAGAAGAACATAGTAATTGGTTATCCAACGGAAAATGGCCATCCCTGAAAACACATATACAAGTAACAATATACAGACCAAAAACCTTACATTTAACATCACACACACACACACACACTTCTAATAACAATTAATAGAAAATGAGGCCATGAATTTGAAAGAAAGCAAAATGGTGTAAATAGAAGGGTTTGTAGGGGAGGAAAAGTAAAGGAAAATGGTGTAATTATATTAACCTCAAAGATAAAAGGAACAAAAGTTAATGCCAATTGATTCTAGGAACTGTAAAAGTTAATGGTCTTGAGAAATTACAGGGCTTATACGATGATCCACAGGAAATGGTGTTTGTCACCAAGTCTAATGATCTGTCTTCAGTGTCCTGAATCAATATGATAGAAGGAGAGAACTGGCTATCAAAGACTGTCTTCAAAGCACACAGGCACATACACACGCACAAGAGTGCATATGAGCACACACTTCTATACATATATATATACATATGTAATAAATGTCATTTCTACAAATTACAAAAATTATAAAAATAAGGCAAATAATTATTTCTTATCTGCTTCCTACCAATGACAGGAAGACAAAAATCACACTTTGTAAACTCAAAGTCATTCTTTATTTTTTCTGTAGTTTTTTAGTATTCAAAGCAGTTTCATGAAAAATTGGTTTTAGACATGAATATTAAAATAATTTTGTTTCACAAAATTTCATGGAATTAATCATTTTATGTATTTTAGTCATATAAAATTCCTTCAAAAGACCTAAAATTTTCATGTTTTTTGTATGTAATTTATCCTATTAATTTTACAACTTCAATGTTAGAGGATAAGATTAGTTATTCTTGACAATATTCTTTTCTTTTTATAGAAGAAGACAATTAAAAGAACCTTGCATTGTAATGGAGTTCTACCTGGCTTTGGAAAATGGGATCACTACTGGCCAAGTATTCCCAGGAATCTCAAGGACACTCTTGTTACTTATTAAAGATACTGGCTTATAAGAGCTGACACACCCATCCTTTATTCCTTTTTGTTTTATTTATTTTAAAATTTTCACTTTGGTTTTAAGCATTTATACATAAGTTAAAACTATCATCTGTCTATTTTACCCCCTCCAACTGATACTAATAATCTTTCTAGTTATTTGGTTGTATGTTATATCTAAATATGTTTTTTTGTGGTAACCAAATTGTTTTCGAATTTTTATAGGTTTTTCTGTGTGAGATACAATACTATAAAGAAATATAAATGTTCTCTTCCACAGTAATTATTTGAAAGGGTTCCATAATTTAAATAAAATAGTTTCCTACATGTAAATCCTAAGTAGAGATATTTCAACAAAACACTGTTTTATTCCATTATACCACATAAAAAGTTAAAAAAAGTTGCCTAGGAAACACTGCAGTTTTTATTAAAATCTTAGAATTACCCACAAAGCACAAAATATTCGCTTTGTGTGTATGTAATGAAAATTTCTACATAATATAGTTGCATGAAATATATTTATTGAGTGATACAATTCTAAAATAGCCTAGAGAGAGTATATGTTTTTCTCCAAGGACTGATGCTCTGAAGTCCTGAGACCTTCAACAAAAGATTCCACATTGAGAAAAGCTATGAGATGTCCCATTCCTTATTAAATCCTGTCAACCTGAATGAAAACTGAATTAATTGTTGGTGGGAAAATGACAAAATCTCTTTTCATTACTGTTCACTTTGTATGAAAGGGAAAATATTTCTTTGATCTCTGAATAATAGACCCTTAATATCTTGACAATTCATTAGAAACACATAGATTCCCACCCACGGAGACAGTGGGGCTGATCTATTGAGAGCTCACCAAGGCCAGCTGGACTGCGACTGAAAAAGCATGGGATAAAACCGGACTCTCTGAATATGGCGGACAATGAGGACTGATGAGAAGCCAAGGACAATGCCACTGGGTTTTGATCCTACTTCATGTTCTGGCTTTGTGGGAGCGTAGCCAGTTTGGATGTTCCGTTTCAACGACCAGGATGAGCAGGGAGGACTTTGGACTTTCCACAGGACAGGGAACTCTGACTGCCCTTCAGACTGGAGAGGGAGGGGAGAGGAGGAGGGAGGAGGGGGGAAAAGGGAGACGGGGAGGGAAATGGGAGGCGGGGAGGAGGCAGAAATTTTTTTTTCAATAAAAAATTATATTTTAAAAAAGAAACATAGATTATGAGAATATGTTTTTAAGAATTTAGACTTTTCTCAACAGAGATATATTTCTGCTTCTGGTAGCACCAGTTACTTCAAAGAGGTGGATGGTCATCAAAGAAACTTGGTAGGGAATTTGCCTTCTATTGGACAAGGCCAACCATTTGGGCAAGAAGTTGCTCTTACCTGGACTTCTTAATGGTATGCTGTATTATCTAGACATGAAGGACCCACAAAAAAGTGACTGCTGAATTTTCCAAAAGATGGGATGGTATTTCAGGGTTCCTGTTTCATGGACGAAACTGCTAGATATTCTGCAGGACACAGAAGAAAGCAACTAACAAACTTTGCCAGTACAAGGTAAAACAGATCTTCAAATTTCCTGATTCACCAAGAAGTCTGCCAGATACAATGGACCTATAGACTGATGACAGGTGCCCCAACATTACAAAAGAACTTTGGGTGACTGTCCAGACAACAAGGTGTCTCTGTCATTTCCAGAATTTTGGAAGTTGCTTACAGTGCACTTCCTATTTATTTAGGTAATATTATATACTTATGAGATCTTTGATAGGGTTGATGACTAGATAGTTAGTTATAATCATACTTTTCCTTAGTTGCGATAAAAGATAAATTAGATATAAAACTGTAGGCTCATGAAGCTAGAAAAGATGATAGAAATTTTCCTCAATTTGCCAAATATAAATGAACTAAATATTGGAATTATAACTCTTGCTTGACAACTATTTTGTATATTTAATTTTACTATTTTAAAGTTAAAACCTTCTTTTCTAATTAGACAGAAAATGGGAGATGATGTGGGATGTTGCTTTTATTGGTTGATGAATATAGCTTTCTTGGCCAATGGCTTAGTGGAGTAAAGAGAGGCAGAAAATTCGAACAGAAATATAGGCAGGGAATAGACAGAATCAAAGAAGTGTATGTGGGTGACAAAAGAAAAAGATGCCAGAATATTACCTATAAGCAACATCCTTGTGGCGATACATAGATTAATAGAAATATGTTAATTTAAGATGAAGAGCTAGCTAGGAATATGTTTGAACCATTAGCTAAACAATGATATAATTAATATAGTTTCTGTGTGATTATTCAGATCTGTGAGGCCGGGAAAAAAAAAGTGCAGGGTCTGTCTACAACCTTCAACAAAATATGTATGAGTTTTCCTAAAACTACCAATATTAAATTTATCAACTGGTTATTTCTCTGTGAAATAATAATTCGACCACATTACATTTTTAATGTACAAAATTATAATTAAGTTATTATCATCTTGGAAAATATTAATAGGCTTGAAATACACAGAATTTTTATAAACAAGAAGGCATCTGTAGCGGGAAATGACAATTAACAACTTGGAGAATATATTAACACAAACAGATTTAAGTTAGAAAATATCAAAATGATGCCTTATATCCCAAATACTTAAAATGAATACTTCAGATTAGCAGACAGGATATTATTAGATAGTTAATGCATACTCTGTCAAAAATCTGGACCTATGACACTGTATATTAGAACTACCATAAATTACATAATAAAGCAGATTAAAAATAATAATAAAATTTAGAGAGAAACAAGTAATAGTCTTTAATAAGACTTCTTAACATTTTTAAATTCCAAGAACACTTTCTAACTGATCATGATACACTTTTAGTTTGTTGCAAAATAATTCCATAAAAATTTTTTGTTTTTATTGATTTTTATTGAGCTCTACATTTCTCTCTGCTCCCCTCCTTGCCTCTCCCCTCCCACTTCAGCCATCCCTCAAAGTCCCCAAGCTCCCAATTTACTCAGGAGCTCTTGTCTTTTTCTACTTTCCATGTAGATTAGATCTATACAAGTCTCTCTTAGTATCCTCATTGTTGTCTAAGTGCTCTGGGATTGTGATTTTTAGGCTGGTTTTCTTTGCTTTATGTTTAAAAATGACTCATGAGTGAGTACATGTGATAATTGTCTTTCTGTGTCTGGGTTACCTAACTCAAAATAATGTTTTCTAGCTCCATCCATTTTCCTGAAAAATTCAAAATGTCGTTATTTTTTTTTCTGCTGTGTAGTACTCCATTGTGTAAATGTACCACATCTTCCTTATCCATTCTTTAGTTGAGGGGCATTTAGGTTGTTTTCAGGTTCTGGCTATGACAAACAATGCTGCTATGAACACAGCTGAGCACATGTCTTTGTGGCATAATTGAGCGTCCTGTTGATATATAACCAAAAGTGGTATTTCTGGGTCTTGAGGAATGTTGTTTCTTAATTTTCTGAGAAATCGCCACACTGACATCTAAAGGGATTTTGATGGGCATCGCATTGAATTTGTAGATTGGTTTTGGTAAAACCTGAATGACAAGAACTTTAAATCTTTGAAGAAAGATATTGAAGAAGACACCAGAAAGGGGAAAGATCTCCCATGCTCTTAGGTAGATAGAATTAACATAGTAAAAATGACAACTTTCCCATATGAATTCTTAAGTTGTCAAAAAGTCAAGATTTCTGCTAACATTCTCTCTTAAATAGATAAATTTTATGTGTGTTGATACTTTAATATGTTTAAATGTTATCTATAGCAGGGTATTTTAATAAAGCTATTTATTGAAATGTCTTCATCTACTAAGATAAAATTATTAAAGTAAAATCTATATGCTTATAATGAGAAAACATTGAGAAAATCAGCTGCCAAATAATCTTTTGTATGGTTTTATTTTTATGCATAGTGTAACTTATATCTTTGTGTATTGAATTATAGAAAAGTACCACTGTAAATATAGACTGTTATTATAAAGGGGGAGATATGGATAGTTAGAGTTAAACTTTTATTTCAGGCTGTGCCACTTTTCTAGTGAGCATCAAAGAAAACAAATGATTCAGATACTTTTTGCTTGCTCAAACTTGACCTTTGTACTCAAAATACTAGAAGATGGAGATGAGAAGCTGAATCCATAGTCTTTGATACATTCACTTTGTCTTAACAGCTCTGTGTATGGGTTGTAGGATAAAGAGGATTCACGGGGACTATTGCTGTTGGAGATTCTCATACCTTTAGTTTACATATGAAAATACAAAGCACCACAAACGCAGACCTTCTGAGTCATTTTAGGGAACAGCCTATGGTCATGTCTTTCACATACCAGAAAGGGTTTGCTATGAACTTACATTTCCTGAACTTTCTACAACATAGTACAGCCACATTTAATTGATCTTTGTTTCCCTAAATCTCTCCAGGAAAAATAAGCCAAAACCCTTTCCTTTTCAAATAATGTTGGTGCATAAACCTTGCCTCTGACTTCTCATTTTCATTTAATTTCCCAAAGAATAGGCGAGGGCTCTGAGGAGATGTTATCCAACAATTCCATTATCGAATCACAAAGAGCAGATAATCCTTGGGGCATTTTTTCCTTCTAACACCTGTAATTCACCTTCTGTGTTTTAACTTGCTTTCAATGCCTTGCCCCTCTCTAAATCAAGAGGAATTGGTAGTTAATCTGGTCCAAAGATGTCAGTATTTCATCTGAAGTTTTAAGTACTAGCCTTCTATAATCTTAGTAACAGAATATTCCTTTTCAGAAAACAAACAATTTATTGAAGAAGGATTGATTTTTAAAACTTTTGTAACTGGTTTATAATAGTTAGCAGACAAAGAAGTAACAATTTGGAGCAATCACTTTGAGTAACTGGAAACACATGCTGCAAACTGACATGATTTGCTTTCTGGTGCTCTCAAAACAAATCTGCTTTCATTGGGACATCTGAGCCAACAGGACAAATGCTTTTCTTGGTCAAAAGCCTTATGCAATATTTTAAACTTCTCCTGTTATGGCCCACCCATGTTACTACACAATGACGTTCCTTTGTTTAAAGCTAATCACAGCATTCTATATTGGGGTCGAGCCTTGAAATGACCTCTAACAGCTCTAAAGGTTTTGAAGCCATTGAGATTTAGGGTCTTCAATTTGGGAAACTGAGGGATTTCTTTGTGAGGGTGGATGAAGAGGGAGAATGCTGAAAGAAATTATTGGAAAGTTCAGGACACTTATGGGTCAGGTAGCAAGCTGATACAAGGGAAACTCCTAATACTCTACACGGATTATTTTAGCTAAGACTCCTGGCAGTCGTTGAACCATAGCCTTAAGTGGCCATCGCCTGTGGACAGATAGGTGACTACCCCAATTGTCACTGCAGAATCTTCAACCAGTAGCTGATAGAAACAGATGCCGAGACCCATAGGCAGACATTAGGCTGAGCTTGGGGAGTCCTGCAGAAGAGGGAAAGGAAGGGCTGTAGGAGCCAGAGGGATCAAGGATATCACAAGAAAAACCACAGAAACAACTAACTTGGGCTCATGGAAACTTGCAGAGTCTGAACCAACACCTAGGGAACCTGCATGGGACCAATCTAGGCCCTCAACTTGTATGTGACAGTTGTGTAGCTTGGTCTTCTTGTGAGACCTCCAGCAGTAAAAGTGGGGGAATGTTCCTAATGCTTGGGAGCCTATTCCTCAAACTGGGTTGGTTTGCCCATCCTTAATACAATGGGAGGTACTTAGTCTTACTGCAACTTGTTATGCCGTATTTTGTGGATACCCAAGGGAGACTTGCCCCCTTTCTAAATAGAAATAGAAGAGGAGTGGATTGGTGGAGAGGGCTCTCGTAAGAGAGAAGAGAGGAGCGGAGAGGAGAGGAGAGAAAAGGAGAGGAGAGGAGAGGAGAGAGGGAAAATGAGGTCGGGATGTAAAATAATAATGCTATGTATATCTTG